ATAGCCCGTAGGCTTCTGTGGGGGGCAGGGGTCTCCCGTGGCTGCAATCCATTGCTGCTTCTATCCCTAATCAATTTATATGCCGCTTACAAGAGCTAAACAATATCTCCCAGTTGTTTGCAAAGTTAAAATGAGGCATAATGAAAACAAACTCATCTGTTAAAATGTTTAAAATATTGAAACCCATAGCCAAGAATGCAAAGATTAAACCACTCATTAAATGCACCACCGATTAGGGGAGGCTTGGGTAGCAAACACCTGAAATGCATCCCGGTAGGTGCTTCCCAAATACCATTGAGGTCAGTTTAAGGAGAACAGAGCCCCTTTCCTCCCAGATTCAGCCCCTGGTGCAACCAGTTAAGAAGGCTCAGCTCGTGGGCGATTGGAAGGACCATTTTCTGCCTGAGATGAAAGCGAGACGGGCACTTGGCACGAGGGCGTTTGGCAATGTCCCACTTTAGGAGCTGTCCAAAGTGCTGAATTCCAGAGAATGCAGGTCATCTGGGGAAATTCTGCCCCTGTTCTCTCTCCGTCTGCATCTTTTCCTGCATGCAAGCTCCCATCGAGGTGATGGAGTTCTGCTTCCAAAGAAGCACAGACCAGGGGTGTCTCTGACCGTACCTGGAGCAGCTCAGGTGAAGAGTTGCTCCTCCGTTTGTAATACCGGGTCAGATGGTTGGCCCAGTTTTGCTGACACGGGCTGACTCCACCACTGAGGTATGGCTCCTCGCTGAGATCTAGCAGAATGTCAAGGAGATAGCAAGGCCTGAACTCTTCTCCCTGACATGCTTGTTTTCTCTGTGCGGGGAGTAACAGACGTGGGTGTGGTTGCATAGCGAGTGACAGAAGCAACTTCCAACTGTGTTGGAAGCTGCCCCGAGGCTTATGCGAATGGGGCGGCATACCAGTATTCCAAATACATAAATAAATAAAACTTAGGCCAGGCTTTCTTCGTCACCTCATGCTCTAAGAGGCTGGCATGCAAGTTCCCTTGCTCCTGAGGAGACTCACTGACCCTCCTGTGCGAGGAGGGGGCTCTAAGACCACCCACAGAGTTGGAGATATGCAGTCATCACCTCTCCCTCTCTCTTTTTACAGCCCTTTAAAAGGAGCTGTGTGGGCCCAGGGCTTGGTTGGCCTGGAACCTCAAGACTAAGGAAACGGGGTGAGGGAGAACCAACAGGTAGGGCCGTCATATCACGTCACAGTCCCAGCTGAGTCTGCAGGAAGTCTGTGCTTGCTTTTAAAATTTAAAAGAGACAGCAGATCGCACACCTCCAGCGTCGGCTTTTAGTTCAGCCTTTATTAGAGCATGAACTAGGCCAGCAAATATGCGTGCGCGTTTGTGTCTACTTGGCCTCTTTCCCCCATCCCTGAGCGAAGGAAGACTTCACTCCAACCCGCAGATGGTCCAGAACTGCAGAACCAAAGGAAAATAATTCTCTAGCCGCATCCATTGGCCTGGGGATTAAAAGTTCCTGGGCTGAGTTGTTACTATTAATTTCATGTTTATACTGCCCAAGTAGCTGAAGTTGGCTGGAAGGTTTGCATAAATCACAAAGCACAAATACAAGACAATAAAAACATACTATAAAAACATTAACATTCTTTTCAAAAAATCAAAAGCTAAGGGTTACACGAGATACTAGATCTGACAAGAATGAGGGGTATTAATCCCTTAGAGAACAATCTTAATCTGGCACTGAAATGCTGGCAGTGTTGGGGCCAGGTGGACCCCAATGGGGAGAGCAGAATCGGGGGGCTGCCACTGAGAAGGCCCTGTGGTGGAGTTTGTATGTTTATTATTAATAATGCTAGTACACCTTTAGATATAACAAGAACTCTAACAGTGCGATCTTGTGGCTTCTAGACAATATCTTGAAGGCTGTAGGACTTCTTGGAGACGCAGGTATGAGGCTGTAGAATCACTTTGACCCCATAGCTAGTTCTCCATGCTCAGAAAGCCCTCCTTGCCTCACAGCTGGTGCAGAATGAACGGTACTGGCTATACCTCCAAAACTGCAAAACCCTCAAAGGCGGATTCGGGGTAAGGAAGGAGGGAGGCAGGAGGGAAACAGGAGCAGCAGCGTCCTGGTCGCATCTTAGCTCTTTTCTCTCCCGCTCCAACTTACCCTGCTTAGAAAGCTGTAACTGAATGTCTAAGTGTCTGTAGGACTGGAGGAGCTTGGCGGTGACCTTATCCACAGTGAGTTCAAAAGGCTGTGGGCATCAGGATAGGGTTGCACCTGAAGTAGGTTACCTGCCAAACTACTTCTTAAAAAATCACCCTGAGGTAAGGACAAAAAGAACAACCGAAACTCAGCACATTTTCTGCCTCCAGAACCACATGGGGGACAGAGTTCCATGCATGTGGTGGAATTACAAATGGGCATAATCTACTTTGGGATTTTTTTTAATATAAAGGCAGCATATATATCTTCTATAATAAATGCACTTTGGCTGGCTAGGCATGGATGATAATTATAGCCTGTCACTTATATTTGCTGAAAAGAGAGGCGACTTGATTTGACTTGCTATTCCATTTTATTTCTGTACTGCCTTCCCTCCAAGGTGCTGAAGACATGGCTTCCCCGGCTTTTTTCCCGCAGCAACCCTGCCAAAGGGACTCAACTGCGAGATCTCTCCTGGCTCGAGATCACGCAGTGAGCCTTATGTTTAGTGGGGATTTGAACTCACGTCTTCACAATCCTGGCTCAACATCCCAGCCCAGTCAGTCCAACCAGGTGCCCCAGCCTCTGTGAACAGTGGCCCGGAAAGCTGGGAGAAAATTGCGGTCTTTGCAGCTGAGCACATCTGGTCCGCGCTGCCGCTTGTTGTCCTGGCTGCATTTCCCCTGAAGTTCAGAAAACCACTGAAGGGTTCTGCCTATATCAGTGCCGCAACTTGGAGATGCCTGCTGAGGGATGGCGCCTGATTTCCTCTCCTAAAAATTACTTAACAGCTTTATTCAATTAAAAATGCATGTTGTTAAAATGCATCTAGGAAGTCGAGGGTTTGCCGTTCAGAATGGAGTTCTTTGCCATTGCAGCTTATTTAAGAAAGTAAATATCATTAAGAGTTGGTATAGCATTTTTTGAAATGCTGTCCTGAGATGCCATGCATAAGGGACAGCATATAAAAGTTTTAAATAAATAAAACCCCCAATAAAGAACACTTTATAAGAATGCCAAAACTCTGACAACAGAGGCATTTGTCTCAGCAAATGTTTTTCTTGCAGTATCCTAAAAGCAGCTTCCACTCTTGCATGTAATTAGTCATATCAAAATGAAATCTTATCAATATAATCCAAATTGGACACCATTCTGTGGTTGGAAAGAGTATATTTGATTCCTTTATCTGTTAAATTTATACACCATCCAAGTGCCAAGTGCCCCTGCAGTGGTTTAAAACAATTATTAATATAACAATAATCATGGTTATATTATTACAATAATATAACAACCCATGCAGTGAATATAATAATTAAAATAGCGAAGCATGAAGGATATTAAAGAGCCAGCAGTAAAGTTAATGATCAGAGCTGCAGGTTATAGATTAAAGGCACAATTCCATGCATGTTTAGGCAGGAAAATGTCTGTCGGCCACGCTGTCGCCCACTGGGAGTTCTGCAACCCCTTTCTGTTTATGTTGGCATAGAACTGCACCCTCAAAGTGTTCAGGAAGAGGAAGTATTAACCTGGCCTCGAAGTGGATCTCTCTGGGAAAGGTATTTCAAAGGCAGGTGGGGCCACCACATAAAAGCCCCTTTCCTTGGCTGCCACCCATCTCGCCCTTGTGGGTGGCAGCCTCTGGAGAACGCGAAGGAAGGAACCCAGGGGAACGGCCCGTCTCATGCTGGGAACACAGGTGGTTGCAGCAGGTGTGGCTTTGACAGGTTTCCCCACGGAAAATGGGGAATGGGCAAGCTCAGGAAAGCAGGGAGGGTGTTATTCGCTATTGGCGTGAGGGCTATGTAGGACTTAGAAGTGTCGGGCGAACCGTGGAAAAGCACAGCAGAGCGGGATTTTGCATTGCCTGTTCCAGCCGATACAGCCCGCTCCTTTTTCTCCCCTCTTGCATGGAAGCCAAAGCGGCTTCCATGGCCCTCCTTCATTTTGTCCTCACAACGACAGCCCTCTGAGATAGGCTAGGCTGCGAGTCGACGGCGGCCCCCAGTCAATCAAACCAACGCCCCACACGCTCCGGGAAGGCAGCCCTCACCCATGACCGGCGGGGCTTGCAGGACCATGTTCCGAGGCGGAAGGGCCCTGCTGGTTTTGGATTCCCCCCAGCTGCTGCTTTGGGTCATGCTCCCCCCGCGGTCAAAATGGTTTGCATTTCTGCAAACATCTGGAGCCCCCCAAGCCTGGAGCTGCCTCCCCCTTTGTGCATGCTGATTTCTGGTTCCCCGTCGTTTAAGTCTGCAGCCTCCCGTCAATTATACCGCCGAAATGAAGAGCGCTCGGTGCAACCGGGAGCCAAGCTTTGCTTGCAGAAGGACTGGGGACTTTCTCCAGCTCTGGCTCTCTCAGCTCAGGATTCTTTGCATCTAGGGCAGTTCCTCTTGTATCAGGCTTTGGCTGATGGGCTGTGGGGTTCTGGCGAACAATAAAGGCCACCCCACAAACTCGACCCACCCGGAGCTGGGGGAGCCGGATGTGGTCCCCCCCACCCCCAGGTCCAAGATTCAGCGTAGCATTATGGACTGGAAGGGGCAGCAGCGGTCTCCCGCCAGCCTTTGGGGAAAAGCTGCAGGTGCCGGGGACAGAGACTCTCGAGCGAGCGAGCCCAGCTTGCCATGTGGAGGAGGCATGTCCTGCCGTGGGTGGTTCTCGCACGTGCTGCCAGAGCCGCTGGGGGCTCTGAGCCAGTGCGTCTTCCACCTGCCCCCTCCTTGCTCTGGATCCTCGTCGCTCGGAAGGTACTGGATGACTCACCCAGTTTGGCTGCTTCTGGAAGGCCTCCTTGTTCCCAGAAAGCCGCTTTGGATAGGGTGCCATATGGCGCTTGAGGATGGAGGCACCAGGGGTTCAGGGGTGTGCGGGGAGAAACGGCTCGTTCAGGGGAACGGCTGGGTAATTAATTCCACCTCCTTCTCCGCAAGAAGGCTTGTCTGACGTCTAGAAGTTTTCTTGAGATGCTAGAAAAGGAACCCTGGACAGAAATACACACACACACATGTCGGCCTGCTGAAGAAATACAGAAATAGGTACCTCACTGCTGGCCAGACTTTTTTCGGGGGCGGGGGGGCGGGAGCGAGCCCTGAACACCATATGGAAGACGAAATACGGAATGGGAAAATCCTCGAGACAAAGGCCAAGAGGATGCTTCCCGGGACCTGTGCCTCTTCTTTTCCTGCTGGACATCTGAGGTTTTGCTAGTTCTCATGTCGTTCTATAGATTTCAGGAAGGGGTTTTGCCCTGGTGTATTTCATTTTGGTGTGACTGTGTTTTGTGCTCCTGTCGACCTCTGGTGCATCCGAGTCTGCAATGTTAGCAACCCTTCTTGTCAACCGCAGGGATAGGAAACCCCCAAAGCCGATTCTCAAGACCATTCTGCCAGTAGTCAGTTGCCTTTAGCAGCTGGCAACTTGTGCCGGGGGCTGGAAATTTGGGTGGGGGGTATTCTGAGCCAGTGAAACTCTTGCATATTCAGCAATGGATCTGGCAGCTGCCATTTTTTCTCTGTCAAAATATTCTGTGTAGAAAAAGCAAAACTCGTCTAGATCATCTTGTATATTGGTCATTCTCTGTGCATACAAGGCGAGTGGGGATTTAGCGCACGTGAAAAGGCCATATGGAATGGGCTACATGTGGGTTGCATAGAAACATAGAAACAGAGCGAGTCAGAAGGGGTCTCCTGGGCCATCTAGTCTGACCCCCGGCTCCAGCCAGCTCCGCTCACGGCATGCCCACCATTGCACATTATCTTTATGCAGTTTTAACCTTTTAAAAACTTTAAAAATGGGTTTTTAAAAAGATAACCGTCATGAACAGTCATACAGAATAACGCAAAGGAGAACGAGACTGCTAGAGACATTCTAATAGTGGTGCCCAGCACACAATGGGGGAAGGAAATTATAATCAAGAGTTTTTTTTAGCCACTGGATTCTAAGTGCATGAAAATGTGTTGCCTTGGATGACGGACCGTATGCTCCACAAGAGTCCCGGAGGGCGCAGGGCTCCCAGCACGCTATGTGGTCGCGCTTTTAACACTGATGGAGTCCCTGACACCCCGATTTCCAGATTACGTGACTTTTTCAAACGGGACATCCAAAGTGTCTCCTAGGCCGCTGGTATAAAGTCTGTGGGCCAAATCCTCTTGTCTTTTGCTCTGTCTCCCTTCCCATATATTGAGGCTCTCCTGAAAGGAAGCTCAGAAAAAAGAGAAGAGGATCGCAAATGAAGCAATTCAACGGCAGACACATTTCCTGCTTTGCATAAACACCTGCGCTTGACGTTTGCCGATTCTAGACTCCACATGGGCGTTTTGCATCTCTGACTCTCAGTAAGCATTCAATCTCTCTCTCTCTCCCCATTTAGATAATTGCCTTTGACGAATTGCACATGGATTTCAAGAACCCCATTGACCAGGGCAACCCAGCCAGGGCCGTAAGTCTATACATGTCGTGTCAGAGGTGTGTCCGTCTCTGTGTCCATTCGTTTGTCTTTCTTCCCCCCTTGCCCTCATCTTCCAAACCCGTTTTCCCGTCTCACACTGATCCAGTACCTGTTTATGTTAGGAGGCTGCAAGTTTTGTGGACGAAGCAGGGAAGGTGTTGCCATAGCTCTGTGCTAGGTCAGAAGTATTGCATTCAAGAGATCCCGGTTTCGATCCTCAGCGCCTGCTGTTCGGGCCACAGGTGTGGCTGCCAGTCATTCCTGCTAGTCCGTGCCGGAAATACTGAGCTCGATGGACCCGGCATCTCATTTGGCACTAGGCAACTTCCTGTTCAGATCAGCAATTTATTTAGAATCATGAGGACTAGAAACTTTATTTCTAAGAGAAAGGGGCAGAGCTCAGATCAGAGCACAAATCCCTGGCTTTTCCTGGTAGGGCCAACATGGAAACCCTGTTTCTGGACTATCCTAAGAACGGGCAGTTATTTTGCCTGTGATACATCCTATGATGTTGCAGCGATGTATTAAGAGCAAGATTTCTGTGGCAGGGGCCATGTACCCCTTTCAGAGAACATCCCCCCCCCCCCCCAGTCCTTGGTAGTATTGTTAAAAAGGGCACTTGCTCTCTCCAAGCATCTTTTTTTTCAGCCCTTCCCTCCCCACTAATGGATGAGAAAAAGTCTCAAGATTTGTTTTGGTACATCTGCATACCTTTGAGGCTCCTCAAGCCTTTTGAAAAATCCTCTGTGCATGGCCTTCATTTTGTTTGGGCTCACATGACACTCACAGCCCGAACAGCAGAAGTAGAGAACATACGCTGTGCTGGTCGTTGAGACTTCCCCCGCTAAATAATCCTTGCAATTATAGTCTGGTGAGAATCCTCTCTTGGGTATTTGCGGTGCTTCCACAGGGAATGACAGGGCCTGAAGTCCCCTCAGGCTTCCACCAAATGTTTCATGTCTTTTCTTTTCTTTTTTTTTTGCACATTTTTTATTAAGATTTTAAACTAAAAACTAAAAAAATAATCATCAAATACATCGGACGTACTGGGTCAGCCCCCTATAACATATCTTTTAAACATTCTATAATCATATTCAAATCGATTTATAAAAATTTAAAGACATCTTTAAATCTAAGCCAAGTCCCGTTTTTCCAACCACTCATAAAAAAGGTCCCAAGTTTGATAGAAGTCAGTATCTTCTTTCTCCTTCAATAATAGAGTCAGTCTGTCCATTTCTGCGCAGTCCACAATCTTTTTTAAAATCAGTTCCTCAGTGGGTAGTTCCTCTCTCTTCCAGCATTGAGCAAGCGCAATCCTCGCCTCTGTGATTAAATGTAGTATCAAATACATTTCTTGTTTGCTAATATTTTCTGGTACAACACCTAACAAGAAAATTTCAGGTTTAAAAGCTAAGGCTCTTTGTAGCATTTCCTCGAGCCATTTATGTATTTTAATCCCAAATGTTTCATTTCCGTCAACTGTCTTTCAAGTCTGGCTGGCAAAGTAGGACTCAGACTGGCCCAGGTGCAATCAAGTTGTTTATAGTTGGAACACGCACTGTTTGCAGAAGTTCTGCACTAACGAGGAACTCTGCGATCAGCTTTCCCCAAGGTGGCGCCTTCCAGAAGTGTTGGGCTACAGCACCTATCATCCCCAGCCAACTGTAGCCCAACGCTTCTGGAGGAGATCCTGTTGGAGAATGCCACCCTATGTGGTAAAGTCAGCAGGTACCAGGTACCAGCTGGAAAGAGAATCCCGCGGACGGGAGAGGGCAACAGCGGATCTGTTTTCTTTTCTCACAACTGTCCTACGAGGTAGGTGAAGCAGAGGGTTTAATTAGAGAAGCCCAGGTTTGAACCTGTGACCCCCCCCCCCATGTGCGAACACAGGTATTCTATCTGCCTATGTTAAAACATAGAAACAGAGTGAGTCAGAAGGGGCCTCCCGGGCCATCTAGTCTGACCCCCGGCTCCAGCTGGCTCTGCTCACAACCTGCCCACCATGTGCATGTCTAGCCTATCCTTGAACGCCCTCACCGATGGGGCCTCAACCACCTCCTGTGGAAGCCCATTCCATACCCTTGGGGTCCTGTCAGGAAGTACTTCCCGGCATATGAATTGAACCTTGGTTTCCTGAGCTTTGCTCCATTGGACCACGTCCTGCCTTCCTCTGCAGGGGAGGACAGGTCTCTCCCCACCTCCATGAGACACCCCCTCACATACCTGTATGTCGCCAAAAGATCCCCTCTGAGTCTCCTCTCCTCCAAGCTGAAGAGACCCAGTTCCCTCAGCCTCGCCTCACACGGCTTCCCCTGCAAACCGGCCACCAACCTTGTGGCCCTGCGCTGCACTGACTCCAACTTGGCTACATCCTTCATCATAAACCCATCAGCAAAGCATGTTTAAATAGCAGGAAACAGCCTTGTGGTGTGTGTGTCCCCTCCGCACTTCCCGGAAAGGTGTGTCTTTGGGGGAGTACCCCTTTTTTGCAATCTGGGTCTGTAAGGCGAAGGATTGCAGAAAGCTTTTCAAAGCACAGGCCAGCAGCGGAAGAGGTAGTGGGAATGGGTGGGTGGGAAGGCAGGGGAGAAGCTGTTTCCGGAAGTCCCCCAGGCTTGTTGCAATGCATTTGGTGGATGAAAGCTGGCTTTCATCAGCCGTGCAAAGAGCACAAAGGAATGGCAGGAGCCGGGAACACACAGCCACAGGAATCCTTTGAAATCCCGCCCTGAAAGTGTCGCTCAACAGCCTTCCGCAGCAGCAGGGGGAAGCCACGGCCCCCTTCCCAGCACCGCGCTGCCTCCCCCGCTCTGCGCCGCTGCAGACAGAGCAGTGCCTGGCACCCTTCGCTCAGAGATGGCAGAGGCGGGTTCCCCGCTTCTGCTCAGCCCAGCGCCCTTCCCATCCTCGCGGCGACAATCCCCATTCCTGGGGGAAGCATCTTAGAAGAATCGGACTCTGCATTCGAATCCCCTGTCAGGATCTTGCAGGACTAGCGGTTCTCTCCCTGCCTCTCGCGCTCGGCCACCTCTTGCAGGGTTTTGTGTAGAAAAGCGGGATGAGTCCTAAATTCCTGGGAGGAAGCACCAGATACTGACAGAAGCAAGATAGGCGTGTGTCTCTTGAATAATGGAGAGCCGGTGTGGTGTAGTGTTTAGAGGTTAGGACTGCGAGATCTGGATCTATTTCCCCAGCCAGCCAGGGAGCCATTCATTGAATCTTGGCCTGAGAGTAATAAATTAAGATAAATGGTATATCAGTACATTGCATAAATTGTACATCTTTAGTTATACCCTTATACACGTCTGCATTGTATATTAATAAGCAATACTTGATTAAAAATAATTTGTGGTAATAAGGGAAAGGGAAAACTCCGAAATAAAGCATATAATGGGCAGGACGGCACCCAGTTTATAAAGGCATATATTTAAAAATAAACATATCAACAAATTTTAAAATACGAAACATTTTGACCAAAAATACCAACGTTGAGCCCCTAACTGAAGCTGGAGTTTTATGCCAAACATTCCACATATTAAACTCATATCCGTATTATCTGTGCATTCGTAAAGCAGATGCGCGATTGTCAGTTGTTGTTTTGTTTCATGCACTTTGCATTGCCTGCCTAAAGAAGCAGTTTTAGTGTCTAAGGGAGGGAAGACCTCTGTTCCTGCAAAAGGTGTTGGACTCCAGTTCCCATCAGCCTCAGCCAGTGTGGCCAGGGACTGTGAGAGACGTATGTACCCTAGCATTCCCAGGAGGGTGACAGGTTCCCATCTCCCCCAGCAGAGCCATTGGAAAAGGAGCACTATGAGGAAGTCCTTAAAGAAAGGGAAAAGAGGGGGTGCTTTCCTCACAGTCGAGAGAAACAGGACTTTTCGGAAGACAGCACTTAAACGCGCGCACACACCACACACACCGGAAACCCCACTGCGCTTCAAGTTCATTCGAAGCAGAAGCAGGCGATCAGTTGGGGTCCTGCACTCGTTTGTTCCGCTGAGAAACTCTCCCGGGCGCCAGCGCAACATGGCTGCCAAGGGAGGTGTGGCAGCAGGCAAGCCACCTACCCCAGAGGCGTGAGAACAAGGCAGAAGCCCCGGTGCACAAAACGATTCCTTTGCACCCACAGTTTTCAGCAGCAACTTTCGCGGCAAACCCCAGCCGCCTCTAAGAATATGCTGAAATCAGTTCGTATTAATTAAAAGCAAACATGGGAGCGCTACAGCTCGCGGGCACGAGAAACACAGCCCAGGTGTCCGGAGCCTCCATGTTCCCTAGCCCTGGTTTAAGGGTCCCGCGAACCATTTCAGTGTTGCTTTGGCAGGTGTTTTCAAGAGACAACCTTGCAGGAGAAGATCCAGGGCAAACTGGGAACTCAGGGTGGGAAATCAGGGACACTGTGAGGCTAACGGGGGATGGAAAAGTAGGCTAAACCCAGGGATGCCCCTGAATTCTGCAAACACTGGAGAGGTACGTCTGGCACATGCCAAGGAGGTGGCGGATCTTCTGAGATGCCCCTCCCGTCCCGCAAGTATAAATAGTTTTGTCTGACCTCAATTTTTCTCCTTGCATGGCAGCCTCGGAAGAACGCACGCTCAGCAAATGCAGTCCCTCTGGATCCCTGCTGGGGTGCAGGATTCAGCCCGTGGGAAGGGCAGGGCCGGGCCGGGCCGGGCCAAGCATAACATTTGGGGACTGAGGGTTACGACTTACCAGCCACTTGTAAAGGCACCCTCTCACCACCCCGTCCGTCACCCCATCTCATGAGCTATGAAAGAAAACTTCATATTTCCATTCTGAAATTGTATTTTTGACATTATACCAAGCCCCCAAACGACGCACCCTGTGTGTTGCTATTTTTATTTTTCCTCCACCCCGTTGAAGACACCTACCTGTTCTGGCTGGTGGCAGCACCAGCCCCCCTTTTCCTTGGCCCCGTGCTCCTAGCGAATGCGGTATTTCGCCCATTCTCCTGCCAGCTGGTCCCTTCCTGCTGCGTTTTATGTATTATTTCATTACATTGATAAGCTTCCTGTGGGAATGTTGCAGTTCACACATACTAAAAGCCGAAACTCCATGATAAAATATGCAACCTTTAAAAGTTAAAAACTTAATAAAACTAGAGTTCTTTAAAAGAAAAAAGCAGGAAAAATCTAGAAACACAATGCACATTTTAAAAGAAAACCAGACTAGGCATTTTTTAAAAGGCTTCATTTGAAATTAAAGATACTATTGTATAAGGTGCCTAATGAGTCTCTCTGGGGAGGGCATTCCAAAACTGCTGAAAAGACCCTTTTTTTTTAGAAGTCACTTGCCTCACCTGATTTGGTAAGAACCCTGGAAGAAAAACCTAAGGAATTTTGTCTGAATTTTGTCTGAGCACAGCTTTCTTTGCCTTTCAAGCTGCAAAGCCTGATTGAATTGTTAACGCTTCTTCTGGTTTGGTTCCTGGTTCCCTTACCAGATCTGGGCGCTAGGTGCGTAGATACAGGGAAATTCAGGCTGTCCATAAACATCCATCATGACTCACCATCTGTGGGGCTTCCAGACGAGAATTTCTCTGCTCGGTCGCATGGCTTGCTTCCTTACATGTGCTTGGAACGGTCATATCTTCCATTTGGATCACGAGGGCAGAAATGGTCTGTCTGGAAGCATCGCAAGATTCCGTTTCACCCTCTGCATGGAAATGTGGCTGAGGCAGAGGCTGGGGTCTCCTGCTTGTCTGGACCACCCCATGCCCAGGTCCTGCAAGATCAGGGTGGCTTTGGTTTCACCCAAAGGCCACCCCTCAAATTGGTATTGTCTTTTGTTTCTATCCTGCTTTTTTTTTGCCAAAGAACAGCATTCAGGGAGGCTAACGATGAAAACCTGAAGTGTAACAAAATCTTAACTAAAACATAGCGTGGGAGCTAATAAATGAAAAACACAGCGATCAAAGAAATAGGCAATTTAAAAGCCAATTAAAAAAACCCCTTTGGTGCCAGATGAGCTTATCTGACAAAGGCCTGCATGGAACTAGCAGAGCAAAGGAAAACCAAACGCTTTGCTTGCTGGCAGAGAGGCATCCGTGCAGGGAGGCGACTTCGGCTTCCCTGGCAGCAGGTCCCAGCGCCTGGGAGTGGCCCCGGAGAAGGCCCTGTTGAGGCCCTGGGCCTCAGATTGCAGCTCTTCCATCTTGAGGCTGCGTTTCCACTCATCTCTTGGCCCAGGCTCTGCTTCTGGGAGACCAGAATTGGCAAATTGGGCGTGGCAGCTTCCAGGGAAGGATGCAACCTGCGATAAGCCTCCGCCAGGGCCCCTGGGACAGGTGATGTGACATGGGGACATTTCTGGCCCCTCCTCTCAAATATATTTCTCCAGAGGTACAGTGGCGCATTTAGAAGGAAGGTGCTCGCTGTGGCAGGCAATTCTTTGCCCTCCCCCCAAGTAATCCTGTCCCACACATTTGGGTTCCGGGCAAAAGACTCAACTGCAGCAAAGGATGCCAAAGGCTGCTAGGAGCACGGTTTCTTCTTCAGGTCCAGCAATGCGGAGACACCGAGGAGGGGGGAAGTGTCAGGGAGGGCGCTGCATTCGCTGGCGCCTTTATAGTTGACCCCCTGGATGGTGGGGGTCCAGATTTGAGGGGCATCCACTGGAGCTTACAAAATGATTACCACCAATTAGTTAAAAATACAATTTTGGGATTAAGGGCTGCAAACTAGATAAGGACTGTGCGCTGGATAAATGTGATTTCTGAATGCTTCATTATCCCCGTTTGCTGGCAGATGTATTCCCCATGCGCCTGGCGGATTACACGGCGATGGCGTATCCGAGAGAGGGGACCTGTGTGTCATTTGCTCTCTCCTCCTGTGCTTGGGATTGTTCGGCCTGTGAGGAGCTTTGGGAGAAAAGCACCAGGAGGCCTTGTCCAAATCCCGCAAACTGTGTAGTCATCCTTGCATTTTGGGGTCCCTTGATGGCCATAAACAGCTGACCTGACCATTGCCTTTTTCTTTTATAATGCTTTCTGTGTGTATGAAAGAGAGATTTTCAAAGAGGATTTTATACACAGGCCAGCTCCTTTCTATCTGCATGATCTTATCTATTCTTTAAATCCTGCCCCCCAAGAAACGAGCAAAGGCAGGAATGGAAAACTATTTGCATCGGCTGGACTGAAACCTGATAGAATCCAAAGCGCCCAAGCCAGGTTGCTCAAGCAGGAAACACAGGGGGCACATCTGTTCTCACAAGCCTCATTTTTGGCACGAACTCCAGGCTTCTTGTAAAGAACAGGGCCAATTCTGCATGGGGAGCCTCAAAGGTGAGCAAGTTCAGGCAGCTGCCAAGAGCCTCACTCTGGCAGGGCCCAACTGAGAAGATCCCCCCCCACCACCTGCACCAAAGACACACTTCCTCTTCAACATTCAGTTTTTAAACCCAGGTTTAAAACGGACACTAGGAATCTGAAGATGGGTCAGCGGAGGGCAACGAAGATGCTATGGAGCCTGGAAAATAAGCCTTATGATGAGAGGCTGAAGGACTGGGCTTGTCCAGCCTTGAGAAAAGAAGACGACGAGGTGACATGATAGCACTCTTCAAGTACCTCAAAGGCTGTCACAGAGAGGAAGGAAAAGACCCCGTCTCGCTCTTTCCAGGGTATAGGACATGGAACACTGATCTTAAACTGTACACACCAGGTGCTGGCTAGACACAAGGATGAATTTCCTGACTGCGAGAGCCGTATGACAGCGGAGCCAGCTGTCAAGAGGGGTTGTCAGCTCTTTCACGCGAGAGGCATGCAAGAAGAAAACAGACGGTTATCTGAGTCCTGCGCCAGCAGGGGTTGGATCCAAGGGCCTTCTTGGCCCTTTCTGGCCCTCCTCTTCTACATGTCACCACTTGCCAAAGGCCTCTTGCTTTGGCCCAAGGTGGAACAAGAGACGCCCTCCGAGAATTGGTGCCAACGTGCTGGCAAGGGGTTGCGACTTTAGTTTACGTGCCGGGGAGCATTGGCGCTCCTCCAGGGGCGCACGTCCGCCCCGAAGCACCTTAGACACGCGGAGGACAGATAGGAAAGGCCCCTGCCCCAAGGAGGTGCGGGGCAGGAAGTCCCTGGCATGAGCCATCCCAAGAAAGGGCTGTGGAGAGAGAGCCACGCAACCCAGCACAGTGCTGTCTCTCTGGACGGGCAGTGGCTCTCCCGGCTTTTGGGGTGCGGCCTTTCAGAGTGCGGCCGGAGATGCTGAGAACGGCCCCCGGGACACCTGCGTGTGAACTGTTTGTGCCACAGTGTTATTTATCTTATAAAGCACGCGAGATCTGAGCCTGTTTCTACTTTTTGATACCTTCCTCCTTCCAGATTGTGTTTCCAGGAACAGATGCTGAAGAACTGACCACTGGGAGTGGGGGGTGCAGGGCAAGCAGCCTCGCCAATCCAGATGGGTAGGGACTGCCCCTCCATCATCTGCACCCAGCATAGGGATGATGGGAATTGCAATCTAAGAGATCTGGGGGGCAACAAGTGTGGGGAGCAGGCTGATTTGGAAGGACGGAAGGATGGATGGATGGATGGAAGGAAGGAAGGAAGGACAGAAGGCAGGCTGGTGGCATTTTTATGTTGTACCTGTGAGAGGCTTAGGTGCTTTGCAATTAGATTAAAAACAAACGGATCAATTGCTCGCTGCCCTCAGAGAGCGTGTGGCATTGTAAGGAGAGCACGGAAGGACAAAGCGAGAGAGATGCTAAGCGAGAGGCAAGCGAGAGAGATGCTAATATGCTCAAGGATACCCATTTAGCGCGGAGGCTGAGTGGGAGATAACTTTCCCAAAGGTCAGAGCCCGGAGCAGAGCGGAAAGCTCTTTTCACCACCGATGCTTTTCTGTTGCTCTTATTAATATTTATGCCGCTAGATGAGTTTGCATGTTTTCCAGCTGCCGTGAAGCCAATGGAGAAGTGTAGCTTGTCTAGCTCGGCGCACACTCCTTCTCCGAATGCCAATCCTTGTGCATCCAAAACTGCTTCACCCACAGACAAGAAGGAGGCGACAGCAGCTCCAGGGGAGAATCTGCAAGGTTTGCAGGCGTACCAGAAACGCTCAGGGAAATTCCCCACACATACACACCAAGCTGGGGAATCCCAAAACAGTTCAGCGAGGATTGAGCGTGCTCGGGGGCTGTGGAGCGCTGCTGATGGAGCGTTGCAGGGAGAGCATGGAAACTTGGGAGGAAGGGAAAGAAATGGGCAGGCCAGCCGGCTGGAGTCTGGACTAGGAGCGCTCTGTGCTGCGACGTTTTGCTACAGATCCCACGTGCTTGTTTTCCAGTCCCCCTTCCTGCCCAAGCCGCCTCAAGGGGTTGGAAATAAAAAGTAGTCACAATAGAATAACAGCAACATTCACCACTGCCCCTTCTCCAAGCAGTTTGACTTTTGCGTCTCTCATTTTGTGTTTCTGTGCAGAGGGAGAGATTGAAAAACATCGAACGCATCTGCTGCCTCTTGAGAAAGGTGAGTCTCGCGCTGCGGGTATCTTTCCCTTTCATTTCACCTTCTCCTTGGCATACCCTTTACAATATGGCTGTCCCATCCCTGGAGGCCGGCCTTTCTCGGAGACCTTGCCTCAGCTCCCCAAGGAGTCATGTGCAGAGAAAGATTAGGGCAGGTTTCAAGTTTCTCCAGCTTTGAGCCTAAACCTGCCCTAATTTGAGACCCACGGAAAATCGATAGCGGCCAATTGCCTGCTCGAATCAAATGCTCTATTTGCATAAGTGGACGTGGAAATCTGATTAAAGGAGAGGAGCTGGAGGCTGGCATGCCGTTCCCTCTTCTTCCTTCCTCCTGGCAGGGGGCTTCCTGGCTTTGACGCAGCCCTGCCCTTTCCGCAGCTGCTCTCAGCGGCTCTCCTCAGAGGCGCTTCCTGCCCGTAAAAACTTTAAGCCACCCAGCCGGCCTGGTGTCCTCCAGACGTCGACTCCCATCAGCTCCACCCAGCAGAGCTGAAAGTCAGGATACCGAGCGCGGTCATCCAAAAGATCCCAAACGGGGTGACTTAGAGCTCGCTCTGCCTGCGTCTGATCACAGCGGCGTGGAAGTCGCTTCCGTCAGCTGCACTTCTGCCTCCTGTTTGGATGGCTTCAAAGGGGATCGGACCAGTTCCTGGAGAGGAAGCCGACTGGTCCTGATGGCTGCAGGGCACCTGCAGTATCAGAGGCAGCCTGTGCCCCAGTGGCTGGGGAACGTGGGCAGGAGGGTTGTGGTACCCTTGTGGTACTCTGCTGTGTACTGCACATTCCATGCGGAAGAGGTTGGGTGCTGTGTGAACTGAACGCATAGAAACAGAGCGAGTCAGGAGGGGCCTCCCGGGCTATCTAGTCTGACCCCCTAGTTCAACACTAGATGGAATGAACTAGTGGGCTGCTTTAGCCTATGTCCTTTTCAGCCTTTTGGAACGGTCAGGGAGGACATTAAGGAAACCTTTATGGTCAGGGGAAGGGGGATGCCCCTTTGGAGGACCCTAAAGAGATGATTTGGTACCTTGGACCTGCACCCCTGCCTTAAAGAGACACACTTTCTCAGGGTGCTTTGAGATGGACCCCTCCAAGGACCATCAGTCCAAAGATATTGACCATAGGTTCCCGTTTTCCCTCCTTAAAAAGTGCTTTTTGTAAGAAAAAAGGGGGTTCAAAGGGAAAAAAATTCTCCTGTAAAATTCTGTGAATGAAGTAGAGCTTATGGCAGAATAAAAGCCATGTGTGGAAGCTTGCTTTTCCACTCAGACACAAAGCTTACTTAGTGACTCTGTGCTAGTTCAACCAACCTATGAGGGGGAAAGCAGACTCGGGACACAGCTTGTGCTCCTTGAAGGAAGGGTGAGATGACAACGAAATGAGCAAATAAACCAGTTTAAGTGCTTGTGAAGCCACGTCGAGCATTGTGGATCCTGTACTGAGCAGGGGGGTTGGACTAGATGACCTTCATGGGTTCTTCCAATAAAATCGTATGATTCTAAGTCTGCAGAGTGCAGCCAACCTGCTCGGCCTATTTCCCCATGCGTAACTTATTCTAGTAAAATGGATTGATGTTAGCAACTCGGCTTTGTATCTGCATTTTTTATTTTTATTTTTTTGCTAGTTTGGACAAATGAAGGCTGTTCTTCAATGCTGCCCTTCCATCATTCTGTTGGCTATCCTAGTAAAATTAATTGTTTCTAGAAAGTGTAAGCCAACTGGAGTCCCTTGAATAAGGCAGGGTATACATGCAATATAATAATAATAATAGTAGTAGTAGTAATAATAATAATATCATCAGATTAATAATAGGAATTGAGTGCTATTACATTGATTATTGAAACATTGTTTGCAATTTTGCTAGCATTTGAGTCATTCTTTGTGCTTCAGTGTGATCTTGAATATTTTTGGATGGTATTAGGAAGAGGAGGATGGTGGTACACCACTCTGGGTACAATATTGGCAGAAAAGAGGACTATAAATAGAGCCAAGTTTGCTGGACTTTCTATTTGAGCCTCTCTCTCTTGCAGCTCGTGGTTCCCGAATATTCCATCCACGGCCTTTTCTGCCTGATGTTTCTCTGCGCGGCTGAATGGGTGACTTTAGGACTTAACATTCCTCTGCTTTTCTACCACTTGTGGAGGTGAGATCCTATCCAAACTTCAGCCATCTGTGACCTGGCATTGCCTTGGTGTAGCTCAAGGATTTTTGCAAGTTGACTTGGTGGTTTCCTGGCTTTTCTGCAGGCTGCTCCCTATCCTAGGAGGCTGAAATGCCTCTTCTAAAGCTTAGTTATCATTATAATTTTTTACATTTCTATACCACCCACCATCAAAGCTCTCCGGATGGTTTACAACAATAATCACACAGTCAAGTCGCCCATCCAGATTCTTGCCAGGCCGGATGCTGCTTAGCTTCCAAGATCAGGCAGGACCAGGCAGGGAGAGCTGTAAGCCACAATACCCTGGCGTTTTTGCCATTTCGGCCCACCCTTTCCTACCTTGAACTGCAGCTGTCACTGCGTCTTCAACATCCAGTTTGGTTCTCACTACCCTGCATTGACCACAAAGCTTGTAACAACCGTCTTTCCAGAACTGGAAGTCCTTAATTGAGTCTTAGCATAATGAAGTTGCATTCCTAAATGATTACGACTCTTCCATTTGTGAGGCTGTGCCCGTACTAGCTTCACGGGACATTTGAACATGTTTCTATTCACAAGCAATCATTTATAGCATGAGATATGGGACACATAATATGTGGAATAATGTACAATATTTGACTCCCTCTTTATTATTCATTTTAAAAATACACCCCTTGGATCCCCATGTTTAACATCCCGGGTGCTGAACTGAAGCTCGGATGAGATTTAAAACAACAAACAAACAGAGACATCCCATAAACCTGACACAGTTTCCTTCCCTTGATTGTGTTAGTTGCAAAACTTGTCCTGTTTGCAAAAAGCAAAATGAATAGCTGGAGGAGCTCATTCTGTTCCCTGCACTGAGACCAACCTGTAAGGATTGTTAAATTATAATCTATTCTTGTATGCCTCTGTAGGTTTGAAGTAGCTGCTCTGAAAATTGGTGCTAGCAGTGGTGGGAAAGAGAGAGACATTTGTATTTGCAGAAATAAACCCTTATGCAGGGGTCAGCAATTATCCCCTGACCCCTCGGTGGCCACCCAAAAATGGATTATCAGTGATGCATCCAGGTAAATTTGGAGTGGAATCCTAGTGATTCTGCTTCACTGCTAAGCAGACTCCAAAATCAAAGGCTTCGGAGATTGCCGGGCTGCATCTGTTGGTCAGGAGGAATAAAAGCCTTGTTTTTGTGCACTTTGGAGAAAGGCAGGCGATGACCCAGGAATTCTTACATTTTAGTCCCCTGGCCTACTCCGCTCCCCACTCACCAGAACGCTCTCCTTCCTCCTCCTCTAAGGTCACTTTCCTATTAGCACATGCCTAATTTCAGGGGAAATGTTAATCTGCATTGTTGAGTACCACTGTGCTAAACGCCTTGCTCTGAATGAATGTGGAGCACACCCCAGAAAAACGTGGCATCCCCAAAACAGGTCAGCATTCAAGGGTCAAATGGGGCAGCAGGGGAGAAAAAGGGATTTTTTAAAATAGCTAACCCATTTTGCATGGGGATCACTTGTAACGAGGAAGGACTCGAAACGCAGTGTTTTTCAGTTGACTCATCTAAACAGTTAGGTGTTCAAAAAATAAGAACTCGGAAGAGAGCTGGAAATTTAGGGCAGAGGCTTGGAGTCGTGTCCCTTCCCAGCCACACTGGTGCAAGACTTTCTGCTGCCTGTGGCAAAGGACAAGCTCGTGTCCCTTTCTCATGCCAATGTACAAACCCAGCCACTGCATGTGCCTCAGCTGATTCCATACAACATAGTTAAGACAACAGGCCAGCGCAGGGGGCACAGAAATTCCTTTCCACGGCCACCACCGCCACCCCCAGCACTTCCCACCTGAGGTGACAGGGCTGGACCTGCTTCCTGGACACCTTACTCAAGCTCCCCCCTTTCCCCCCAGGTACTTCCACCGCCCAGCGGATGGCTCAGAGGTGATGTACGATGCCGTCTCCATCATGAACGCCGACATCTTAAACTATTGCCAGAAAGAGTCGTGGTGCAAGCTGGCCTTTTATCTGTTGTCATTCTTCTATTACCTGTACAGGTGAGCACCAAGCATTTTAGAATTGCAGTTGGGCAGTGAGTGTTTCATTGCACATAACCACAATCCTTCCAGTCACAGCAAGATGTATTTTTAATGTACTGATCAAATCATGTGCAGCAATAGCGGGCGCTGATGCTTTGTATTACTATTATTAAGAATAATTCCTGCATTCCGTACCACCTGGTGCTCAGGGCAGCTAACAAAGTAATAACAATCAAATACAGTAAATGTTTAGACTAAGTGCCCAAGATGGCATCCTTACTGTATTCAATTCGTATTACCTTACACACCAGGTAGCAGAAATGCATAAACGGTATGATAAAATGGTGATGATGAATAATATTAAGTTGTGTATATGATAAACTGATTTGTTCAGTATGTTAATTTTTTCTTTTTTGCTGAAATTGTAAGTAACTGTGGTTATGTAGAACAGCTGGGTTCACCCAACACAGCAAGTTATCCTGCAGAGCTACCACTGTGCCTGGGTTTTGACCGTGATCTACCCAATAGACTTTGAAATGGTTTCTAGAATTTCTAGGATTTTCTAGGATTAGGTATCCAGGTCCTTAACGGCTTGGGACCGGGTACCTAAAGGAACGCCTTCTTCCATATTTGCACCAATTTATTCTGACACAAGCTTCCATGGAGCAAAATAAGTTCCCATGGAATGTTACGAAGCACATCAGGTTTATATAAGGATCAAAAGGAAATTAAATTCACAAAGGGCTGGCATAACACTCACCTTATTAACAGCATTCATTCCTAATGCCATTTCTGTTGATCACACAAACATCCTGACACCAGGTTAGCCAATTAACACATGGGGTGTGATGAAGAACCTTTATTATGATTAGTTGCAGGGTGTTTGTGCAACAGACCAAAACAAGCACTCTCGAGAAACTAAGAATGACAGAATTCTGAGCCCACAAATTTGTTTCAAGCCCCAGAAGGAATTGAAGCAAGAGTTCTAATTCTGCCCACGCAAAAACGCCCAGTCCTGATTGTGTGGCCCAGCTATGGTTCTGCAGATGCTTCGGCCTACAACTCCCAGGCACGCTCACAATTGGCTATGCCTGCGTAGGTCAGTGGGAGCTGTAGGGCAAAACATCTGGAGAGACACAAATTGTTTGCCTGACAGAGCAACTGGGAGGAAGGAAGTGGGGGCGAACAGGCTGTGTCCATGACACGGCTCTTTCCCAGTAAGCCAAGAATCCTGGCTTATTGTTACATGTGAATGCAACTATTGGCTGTTTAATTAAGAATACTTTACAAGCATATCAAAATACAAAAGGAACATTTTTTTAGACAACTCTGAATTCCTGTTACTATCTTGAGAGCAAGACTTAATCTTCATTGTGGCTTCACACTGATGACAGATGCTTTCTCTTTTCTTTTCTTTTCTTTTCTTTTCTTCCCTTCCTCTCTCCCCCTTTCACACCTTTTTCTTCCTCTGCTCCTCCTGCAATTCAGTATGGTTTATACGCTGGTGAGTTTCTAACAGAGCCAGTAGAAGGGAGCGGGGGGGGATCCTTAAGCTGGTTCCCAGTGACTCCTCTGGGAAAGCCCCCGCTCACCAGGACTATGAAATTATCTGGCGGGGGGGATGGACCGTCCTCAGGCCTGAAGCCCCTCCATGTCTGAAGCCAGCAGCTCTGCAAGACTTTCCTTTCCTGGCTGCCTGGGACACCAGTACTTCTGCTGCCTCATATCGGAGGAGGGCCGCCCTATCACCCCCCTTCCTCCCCCTGTTCCAGCCCCTGGAATAACGTCCACTGGTTCTGTATTTTGGAAAAGAAACCCTGCATCTTCTCTGCCGATGGACCTCCAGGCCGCATTCAGATGTGTTCGGGGAGACAAGCAATTGCATTTGAGTTAGGGGTCCAGACAGTATTTGGTTTTTTTTTTTTGTTTGGGGGCTGTGCAGAGCAGAACTCCGCGCTCTCCAGGGCACCTGACTTGGGTGGGCTTTGCTTGTGGGCCAGAAGGTTTGTTCTTCTACCATGTGGGGTTTTTAAAAAAATAAAATCCAGGGAGAAAACTCCTGCAGTGCTTTCCCCCAACCTCCTTTACCCCGGTGGGGTGGGCTCCCCAAAATAGGGCGGCCCCTTCTTATTTCCTTTTGGCAAATGAGGTGAGAATAACATGTCTTAACAACCCCCCCAAAAAAAAAAGGGAGGAGGGCAGAAAACATAGGAAAAAGAAGCCCTAAAGAAAACATGATTGCAGAGCACAGCAGCCATTTTAAAAGTGTCAGTGCAGGAGACTTTCCTTTGCCTCACTTTCCTTTGCCTCTCCAACCCCATAGAATAACCAAGGAATCAGTATTCAATATGTTTCGTCTCTGTTCTTCTCTGTTTTTTTTTTCCTCCATTCTTTTCTTTTTGTGTGAATCGCTGGATGTTGTCAGATGGAAAAGGGATGCTGAGAGGGAAAGTGGTAGAGGTACTCTGTTGTCATGGCAACGCACCGGCCTATCTTTTCTGCTGGCTTTTTGTGCAGCCCCCCCCAGATTTCCTTGGGCTTTGCTGCCAGTAGACAAGAGGAAAGTGAGAGGCCTCCGTGTGGCTTCCCCCTTTGTGGAAGTTGGAATCAGTCCTCACGGGGGCTCAGCACCAGGGTTGGGGGGAGTTTTGGTAGAAAAATAATGCTGCAAAACTCCCACGGCTGCCCCCCACCAAAAAAAAGCCGATATCATCGCATCCAAATTAAAACATAAGCAAAACGATGCTGGATCGGGCACCGAGTCCATCGAGTTCCTTTTGCAGCCATGACCAAGACGGAGGAATCCGAGAAGAGTGAAATGCCTTTTTGTGGCGTTCCGATGTCCATTCCGGTGCCTTTAGCTCCTGTAGGAATTTTCTTCCACTTACCCAAGTGCTCACTCGTCCAAATCCCCAGCCAGAGTTTTTTAAAATTTTGGTTTGCCAGTCTCGGGGATGCCCAACCTGCTGTGAATCCTCAGGTCAGATTTGCAGAGATCCAAATGATCTGGCTCCGTGGTGGGTTTGTACAACATCCCTTCAGGGAGCAGCTAATCCGCATCTTGAGAGTCTCAGATCTGATCCCCGCCCTCTCCCGGTCCTTCTATATCGACCTCTGTAAATCTTCATTGGCTGTATATCTGTCGAGGCAATGCACAGAACAAAATTGGGGAGGGCTTGAAAAGTAGCAAAGGCGGAAAAAAGGAGAAATCCACCTCCCAGTCCGAAAAGCAAAACCATCAAATGTGGCGTCTTCGTCATCTGAGGAAAGCTTAGCAAAGGAGGGTCGAGTGTAGCCTTCTCTAAGGAGTGAGTCCCTTAACTGGGGTTCAGCCCCCAGAAAAGATGGCATAGTGAGCTAAGATGGACCCACGGTCCAACCCAATGTGCCTTCATGTTCCCAGAGACCCCTCTATGACATTAATTGGAAACCAGTTTGCTAGGAGAATTTTATATATTTATTTATTATATTTATATCCCACCTTTTCCTGTTGCAAGGAAAACAAAGCAGTTTTTATAGCCCACCCCCTCTCCCTTTTTTTATCCTCACAACAACTCTACGAGATCGGTCAAGCTGCGTGCCAGTGACTGAATTTTGAAATATTTTTGAGGTAGCTGAGGAACCCCCCCCTTTTTTTTTTGCCCAAAGCGACTGTACATCCAAGTATTTTGTATATGATATCAGTATCTTTGGCTGAAAGGAATTTAAACTGGGACTTCTTTTTTTTAACCAATGCCCCATCTTTAAAACGGTTTTTCTACCAAAAAGATAAATAAAAATAAAATGCAACAGCAAGGGCCACAATCTAAAAGATTTTTTTTTAAATTCATGATTAAGTCCCACCGAAATTAATAAGATTAAGGGCACATGGCTGGTTTAAGTCATGCTGGGAGCTCTAGGCCTTTTTCTGTCTAAACATACATAAGATCGCACTTTTAAGCATGAATGATTTCCTGAATTGCGGGCTAAACATGGTAATCCATGCTAAAACTCTTACCTGCTTTTGGGTGGATTAATCAAACAAGGCAAGTTATATTTGTAATTCACAGAGGGGTAGAACAGCTTCATCAGACTGCTTCATGGGTAAATCATTTCAGAGCACTGCCTTGGGAAACCTAAATGGCCAGGGTCAAGGCACTCTGTACGTTCTCAGAGGACCCCTCCTGCCTGAATGCCTGACTTCACATGAAGCCTCGAATCTAAGTTCAGGCCCGTGGGTTGGCAGCTGAACCAGAAGCAAAACTTTAAAAGCTGAAGCCAAGCTGCTCATGTGTCTTGGGGTCATGCTTCCGTGGAAGGCGAGGGCGTAGAAAGATGCCCATCACCTCCCAAGGGCCTTCTTCAGGTGTTTGACTCTGTGCAGCACCTTCCAACAACCTGTTTTTCTATCTTGATTCTGTTGCTGATTGCCCAAGAGGTCACCTTCTTGGGGGGAAAGCAAAAATGAGGCGAACAGGATTCGACATTCTGGTATATGGAGCATGTGGTCTTAAAGGTGGCCCTAAAGGCTTAAAGGGAAGGAAGAACCATCACCTCCAATACAAATCTTTCCTTTGTTCCTTCCTCTTTTTAAATAAAACCCAGATGAGCCCCTGCGCATTCCTACTCCCTCCCCAGGGGACCATTGTGTAAAGAAGTTCTGTTGGAAATAATTAAAAAAAAAGATTTGACCATGACTTCCACTATTTTTCATCTGTGCGATTGTGTGGTGGGGGGAGATCACAATTTAATGACCATACCTTGCTCCTCTCGGGTGTAGGCTAGCTCACCAGAAAAGGAAGGTTGGCCACCTGATCTTGGGCCTAAAAGAAGGTTTACTCCTAATTATATTATTTATTTATATTATTTATTTATTTTCCGATTTATATCCTGCCTTTTTCCTACAAAGGGCTCAAGGCAGCTTACATCATTCTCCTCCTCCATCTTATCCCCACAACATCAACCCTGTGAGGTAGGCTGGGCCAAGAGTCTGTGACTGGCCCGAAGTCACCCAGTTGGCTCCATGGCCAAGCAGGGACTAGAACTCAGATCGCCCAAGTGCCAGTCCCACGCCCTTAACCATGACATCACACCGGCTCCCTGCATGTCGTACTTTTGTGCTGTCTTCTTCTCATGCTCACAACAACCCTGCAAGGTAGCTCAGCACACAGGCATCATATTCTGAAGTGTGGTCACCCAGTCTGGGTGTGGGCAGAATCCAGTGCTAGCTGCAGCTCTTGTTGGAAGGCTGCTTGGGTGAGTCAATAGAGCATCTCGTCCATGAAGTCCCCCCGCCCCTTTTAGAGCTGTCCTGATTCTTGTGGAAGTGAATTCCACAGGGAAACTCTGTCCTGTGTGATGATGGACAGCCTTTCACCCATTCTGGCTCTGCCTCTCATCCGGGGCTGCCCCACGGGGTTGTAGCAAATGGCGTTGAGAGTCAAACCAGAGACCTGCTCGGTTTCTTAGCCGCTACTGTCGTCAAGAAGGAAAACGCTAGCTTGGGATCACTACATGAGCTCCATTTTTGTCCTGAAAATTCCTGAGCCCAGCAACCTGGATGCAGACAGCTTGGCATTAACAACTGGGTTTCATATCTTTCAAAAACATGGTCTTGTTCCCAGTTATCCCAGGGCTTAAGGAACTTCATTCCGGCTGAAGGCAAAACCCAGTTGGGGGGAATTCTTGCTGCAGGCACAGTCCAGTGGTGTGTGGGGCTGATTAGAAGAGGACAGGTCCAAAATTCAACAGAAGACGCCGAGGATCCCTGTATGTTTCAGCTTAAAGCTCTTATGGCCGGTAACTAAACTTTAGGAAAGGTATTTCAGCCCATTAGTAGTAGGAAGATGGAAGCTGGAAGACTGTGGGGCCCCAAGGCCTGTGGTTCCCCACCAGTATCCATGGGCCCCTGGATTTGCACATCCCTCAGCAGAGCCTTGCATGATTACTGGCAGCAGTTTCTCCGTATCCTCTTTAGATCCCGACCTGATATAATTCCCAGCCACCCATTCCCTGCTGCCTCCCATTTTTCCTTCCCTCCTGGACCAACTGTTTTTGCAGCCTCCAGTCTGAAGAAGAGACCAGGGAGGTCTTGAATATTTGCAGATTTTCGGTGACCTTTGCATGGATCTAATCCAGGTATTACGCTCAAAGGGAATTTGCCCTTGCCTCAGTTTGATGCATCTCAGGGTCCCCATGAAAAGCAGGAGCTGGAGACTTCAAAGATGCCTGTGTGGGTTTCCTTCCTTCTTTCAGAAGAATCCTGGGCATTTCACTAAGAGACTGGAGTCCGTAGCAATCCTGAGTTGCTCATCCCCTGCTTAGCGGCAACTTGAGGCAGAATCCCATCCGATAAAAGTGCAAACACAATCAGATTGTGCTATTGCAGAGGAAACCCTCAAGCAATACCAACTATATTAGTTGCGCACGATCGGATTCCCCGGAGAGCAGTCCTCCCGTCCAGCTGAATACTGCCCGTATAGCCAAATAGCTGTAAGACCATCTCGAGAATTGAACCTGGAAGCTTCATGCAAAACA